ACCTAAAATTTAGTTATGCAATTTAATATATTTATGAGAATTGTGAATTATGATTTTTTAAGATTCATAAAATCAAACCAGATTCCCCGTTAAGGGCACCACATATATATACATATGTATGTATGTATGTATATATACATACACACACACACACACACACACACCTCTAGGTAGTTTTAATAATTATACAATTATTACTAGTGATCAGTTAGTTAATGATCACTCAATTATCTTAAATCAGTCAGTCAGTCTCATATCTAAAGGGTCATTTCTCTTGGCATGGACGTAGAAATAGGCAACACACACAGCTCTTGATTATATTACAGTGAATTTATTCTCTAACTAATGTGATAAAAAGATGGTTGGATACAGGGAACATAAACAATTGCTGAACGATTTGCCTGGAGGTTCGATTGCGGGAGGCATTTGACTCATACGGCATAGAAGAGCTAATGAAAGTAAACTAATGCTATGATTTTAGGAGTTAAAAGGGAAATATCTGATCACAGAACGTGTGTTAAGTATTACTGCTTGTCGACAGCCTGCTTTTGGCCTGTTGCACGGGTCCCACTAGCTGCCGATCCTGGCTTTTTGCTAGGGATTCTCCGGGGTTCTCCGTGTCTGATTGAAAACGCCTCCTCTGTTTGGCAATTCAGCTGTTTTCAGGTTTCCTTCATTGTAGCTGGCAAGACCACGTGGCTTGGTCTGACCTCAGTGAAGTTGGCTCGATGAAAAAGGCTTAAAATGGAACTTGGTCGTTCTTGAATTAGTCCAGTGTAACGGACTGATAACTTTAACAAACAAAAGAATTACAGAAAATAAAACAAACTGAAGGCAGATCGATGTCGCGGCACTTCAGGTGTGTAGCTTCAGGCGAACAAAAGGGCGGTTTCGCTGGCCGAGTCTGAGGGCGCTGCCTGGCGAGGCACGCCGCACGCGTGCCGAAGCGTCCAGCGAGCAGAACAGAGTGGAAGAGAGCCAACAGCGAAGAGAAGAGCCCTTACCGAGGTCGCGTGTCGCTCTTTTGTTGCCTGGGGCGTGGTTCCCCAGGGGGCGTCTCAGGTTTCCCATGGGACTGCCTTTCTAAACTTAATGTCTAAAAAGAAATCTATTTGCACGTCTTATAATCAAATATTTCCCACAATCGAACCTCAATGGTCAAACGGTTTTACTGTTCTAAGCATTTGCCAATGGCTGGTTCGTGTCCCTTTGTCAGTTTAACAGTCAGGCCCCGCGTTATCAGCTTCGGAATCAAAAAGGTGCCAGTTTTATGGTCGGGCTAGCACTTAGAGAAAACAACTTTGACCCCTCCCCTTCTTCTCTGGGGAGGAGAAAGGAATTTAGAGTAGCTCCAAATTTATTCAATATAAAAATGCACAAATCCACACCGTTGTTCACTACACAACAGTGATAACATGCTCTGTAGAGCTGTTTGTCCTTTTAGGCTACTGTAGCAACGTGGTGGTGCAATAAAAATAAAAACCTAACGGTTCATTATGTAAGGTCTTTATACACCACTGAAAACATAGTTCTGCGTATTATGTTGCATTTCTGCCAATAGGTCCTCCCACACAGTACACACTGAACCTTTAAGAAATATATCCGTTTCTCTGGCTTTATTCACTAGCATGGAGATTTTCTGTGCACCACTCTGCAAGAATATCGATTTCCTCCTGATATGAAGTCTCATCGTTGTTTGAATTCCAGCCAATGATGGTTTTGTTGTCCGCAAACTTCTCAACAGTTGTGTCCATCACTGGGGATGCAGTCGTGGATGTACAGCAGGGGTTGGCAAAGAAGTCTGACATCGGGCCAACTTTTTTTCAAGCCGTTACATGGCGGGCCAGAACATTATTTCAGTCAAATTATTTCAAACCCTTGGACAAACCTCCTCATGTGCACGTTTAGCTCAGTCGGTAGAGTACGGGACTCCTGTTGGAGGAGTTGTATGATCGACCCCAAAGTCCACCAGACTTTTTTTTTCTCCCTTCACAGATTGATTAGCCTATAAAGACACTTTTTCACATGATCGCAATAAAGCATACGTGCTGCAGTGTGTGTGCGTCCCGGCGTTTGATGCGCATTCATAAACCTATGTACATTAATTTTCATTTCCCTGAGGAAATTCAGGGGAATCCAATTACATGTTTACTGACAGCTTTTACAGAGGTGTGTCAGAAAACAGACTGTGAGTCAAAGTAAACAGCAACATGCACAGTACAAGTGTAGGCAGATAAGTGTTATTTGCACAGTACTGAATATTTTAAGAAAAATACCATGTCAAAAACTCTGTCAGTAGCTCCTGTGTCTGCTTTGCATGATTTAAAAGAACCAATCAGAGAGCCAAGCTGAGCGTATGTGTCATAGTTTCTAAAGTCGTCCGTTTCTGCCCGTCTTCACTAAAACGCCCTCCAAAGTTTTAAAACGAAAAATGATGTCAGCTGCGTTTTCAAACCTCTCTGTCTTAGGTCGGTGTTTTCGCCGTTTTAGTTTGGACGGGAGGTACAAACGTTAGCAAAAGGTCTCAGTTTTAAAACCAAAATGCAGAGGTGTGGGTGGGACCTCAGTTTCATGGGGGAGATTATGGGTTTTTCTAATGTAGGTGTAGTGGAGATTAATCCTCTCTGAATGTTGGTTCTGAAAGCAAACTTGTGAGGGTCCAGGGTGGCTGGGATGTTGTTCTTTATATGCTAAAGAATCTCTTTCTCAAAGCACTTTATCAGGTACATTTTAGATACAAACATTTTGGCCATAAGAAAACAAAACATCACAATCTAACCTCTGTCCAGCATCATACCATACACAAAGACTTAACTAACATACTCATTTTGACACCCCAAAGTGAGTACTGACCTCAGCCTCGCCACATCTATGAAAACTGAATTGAGTTTTGATGCCTCTTCTCTTAATGTATGTGATTCAATGTTTTTATCCAAGAGAAATACACCATACAAAACCTCATAGGTCTACATTTGCACCAGTTTAACCAAAATCACTTATACTTTATACCAATGTAACTTGGAATCTTTGATGCAAACAGAACTGTACAGCCGAAAGTGATTGTATACCTTCTCACTTATTAGTCATAAAAAAACAAATGGAACATCACAAATAATTTCCAAAAAATATTTTTTACTTTTAGGGACTGTGAATTTGGTACACTTTATGTAAAAAGACCTTAAATGAAAAAGTGATGTGATTTGGGGGACAGTACACTGTATGAGAGTGAAGTTATTGAAAAGGCCTACTTTTAACGTTATCCTCCTAAAATATAATTACTAAAACCGTTGTGACACTAAAGCCTGTGAGCCATCAGATGTGTTGCCCCTTCTATGCGGCCCTTAGCACTCATGTAATGATCTTTGTCCAGATCTTCTTTTTCGAGAATAAAGTTGTAGTTAGTTGTCTGCTTTACTATAAGACAACCCCACCACCACCCCAGCTTTGCTTAGCCTACTTCCATGAGATTCTATTGTGACTATAAATTAGACGCAATACAAGTGTTCTCCTAACGTTAGCCTATAGGCCAAATAAATTTAAAACAAATAAAGAATTTCACCTTGTACAACAGTGCTCTGGATCAGCGTCGACACAAAAACAAGCACGACGTTAGTGGTACTCCTGGAGAAACATATTGTCCATAAAATACGCAGCTTTTCTCTTAAGTCCATTGTTTACCTTTTTATAGTCCAACAGTCTACAGTTTAACTAAGCTTGCTGCTTCCTCTCCCTACCCTCTCTTATGGCAAGCCATTAGTGCCAAAAAACGTCACTCTTGTAGCATGTTTTGCTAACAAAACGGCGTTTAAAATGGAGTTTTGTTTATAAAAACACCGCGAAAAACGCCGTTTTATTTTGACACGCCGTAAAAAGCGGCATTTAGCGTAAAAACCGGAGTTTTCTAAAATGATAATGAGCTCCGCCTGTGGATTTTACAGCCACTAAATTTGAACTGTTGTCACCCAATCAGTACAGAAGAAGAACAGACCACACTAATTCAGCACTGATCTACTTTACTGTGATCGTAGCCACCCAAAGGCAGAAAGTAACCACAGACAAGCATGAAAAACTCAACACAAAAGTCCCAGACTGATCAAGTAAATTGACTACATTTACTAAAAAGTTTTAGCTACTCTAGGTTATAGCTTGTAACATCTATTGATTGATGATTTGAGATCAAATTTGACATAAATAATTAATTTGCATTTTATTTATCATCACTGTCAGATTAAAGTATCTCCTAAAATAGAACATACAAACACAAAGAAAGTAAGAAATCACCGTAAGTGGAACAACTATCTTTACATGGTCATCAGTGAACAGTTTAAGCCTCAATTGTCTTTTTATGACCCCTTCAGTCGGTGTAGTATTGATAGCGAGCCTACCCTTGTTTCTACAAAGCTTTGTTTTACCATGTCATCCTAAATCCAGGCCAAAGGCAACCTGACATAAACGTGTGTTTCAGTCAATTCAGGGAAAACACAGCTTGTCATTTGTTCCCTGGCTGGAAACTTTTTATTTATTTATCCAAAGCTATCCTTCCGGACTCCTGCGATAATATTTATGTTACCCGAAAACACTACACTATACAAGTTGCTACAAAAACTTACCTTATTCCATATTTATATATTTCCACATTTATTTATGTTGACTGTATGTTTGTCTACATGTAGCACCTTATCACCACAGCAAATTCCTCGTATGTGTAAAACACTACTTGACAATAAAGCTCCTTCTGATTCTGAAAAGGCATCTGCAGGCTATTAAGATACTTGGTTTAAAAAAACGCTGCACTGCTTTCCTCCGAAATGGACATATTTGAGAAAGGTTACCTGAACTCTTTGTGAAAGCATACCTTCTGATGATACCTAAGCTAAATAATAAGATGCATGTTTTGAAATCATGTTAATCATCAATAAGCTAATCAATAAGATAATCAATAAGTATAATAATCTTTACATTGTGAATAATATTGGCTGATAATGACAAAATGAAATCGGTTTAATCAGTAAAGGTTGAAATTTATTTTACTGTGTAAACCACACAACATTCAAAATTTCATCCCAAAGTTCATCCCAAATTATATAAAATTTTATTATAACATAATTATGAACAACCAGGATAAAGAATCTGTCAGACTATTTGTGAGAGACAATTGATTGGAGTCTTTACTACTACTAGATATTTGACTTAATACTTTGAACAATTAGGAATTATATTAAAACCATTAAAACCAGTAAAAGGTATTAAAAATAATGCAAAAATATAATATAAATATTATAATTACTCATTTTAATGAACAACTGTAACCAATATAGCCTATGTACATCAGTGTGTGTGCGTCTGCGTGAGGCTCCAGCTGGTGATGGGCATCACTTGTGGTCCAGTCCATCTGTCAGGATGAGTAGAAGTTCTTGGGGCTGTTTGAACTTCAGCTCTTCAACTGGCTGGCTGGATGTGCACAGTGGGGCTGCTGTGGTGATACTCTTCTTTTAAGAGATGGGGACAGATAGGCTTCCCAGTCATCTGAGTGGTTCCATCCACGTTGTATGTGTGGATGGAATAATTTAAAAGGGAAAATAGGGACAGAAGTTTAATAGATTACAAAGTATGTCTTTCACAGTGGTGGAAAAAGTAGTCAGAACTTTAACTTAGGTAAATGTTCCAACACCACACTGTAGAGATATTCTGTATGTCAAAAGTCCTACATTCAAATTTTAAGATGAAAAGTAAAGCTAATTCTAACTACTTTATATTTTGCTGTGTGGCTTTATCTGTGAAAATACATCATACTCTAGTTTCTGAATATGTTTTTAATATATAATCTGCAGAGTAACTAGTCACTAAAGCCATCAAAATAAATGTAGTGGAGTAGTAATTGGGCACATGTACTTGGGTACATTTCACAACTGATTTCTATTGACATAGAAGGCAATATTTGTGCAAGAATGTATATGTCTGATAAAATACCTGATTGTTTGGAGGTCATGCAAGGTTGGATCCCCAGCTTTTCCCCAGTTCCCCATCTGGCTGAAGTCCTTGAAGATACGTACCTCACACGGTATGGCCTGGAATTGGAGTGAGCGCCAACAAGGTCTTCTCATCTGCATCTACTTTGTCCTTCTGCTTCGCAGCCTTTGTGTCCCATGAAGCTGCTTCGATGTTTCCAGGCTTGAATGAACAGTAGGCATCGCACTGGTCTTTCTTTAAGTGAAAGGGAGATATATTTAAGTCACTGAAAATGTTTGACAAAACTTACATTAACAGAGGCTGTTTGCAAGAGGGCTTATACTCAGTGTGCAGGTGACTGATGGACTTGAATACAAGCTCCAGGTACACCTTTCGATGAAGAGGACCTACAGAAGTGCCATTGAACTTTCCAAAGGTCCAGAAGGAAGATCTTACGGACGGAAAGCACTGTGGCCTCACAGCAAGAAGGTCTCCTTTTCTAACCCGTCATCCCAGGCCTTTCTGTGTGGAGAATGCATGTTCTCCCTGTGTCTGTGTGGTTTTCCTCCTTCCTGTGTGGGCACTCCAGTTTTCCACACCATCAAAAACATCTTAGATTAGGTTCTTGAGGCAATGAGTGTTAAATGCAGAGAATTCATTTCACGTGTATGTGACAATAAAGTACCTTTTCCTTCCGTTCTTGTCCTCAGTCTTCTCATGACTTTCTCCTCTTCTTCCTGCCCACTTAAAAAAACACCACTGCTTTATGCCTAATGTTGACAGGAACAAGCGTTGGCACGCTCAGATTCTTCTCCAATCCACTACAAGGTGACAAATAATGGATGCTGACCTCCTGGATTCATCTGCTTCTGTCCGCTGCCGCTTTACACTGCTCCCCTCCACCACAGACTTCACAATCATTTCTCCAGTCCAAATTCCCCCAGAAATACTTAGAAATCTTGTTCTTATGATGTGTCTTCTGCTTTTCTGCAGTAGAGTTTAGTGAACCTTTGGCAGGTTGCAGACTGGCATGGTATCCCCATTTGTCTTGCCTCCTTCAATCCAGGCTCCTCATTCTCCTACTTTTCTGGACGTTCACGTTCCAGGTCTCTGGATTTCCCCGTCTTCCATGACCTTCCTGGACGAGCCTCATCGGTTGAAGAGTCCTCCTCAATTCCTTCTCCTTGTGAATAAAAGAAAACAACAGAAATTCTGTAAATGTTGTCCTCATAGTGTGTCTTAGTGTGGTGTTGTGTCTGTCTGTGCAAAAAGAGTTTGTGCTAAACAGTAGCAAGCAAACTAGAAAACATGCAGCATTCACTGCATTAAATACATCTTACACACACTTCTACGTGTGCATCAGTTTGTCTGTGTTGAAAGGTTTTACTACTTCTCACATTATTCTGATCTGATCTGAGCTACATTTGTTTGTGTGAAAAGGTTTTATACAATATGTTTTCAGTTGTTTGTATAGTTGTCATTGGTATAAAACCTCCAGAGGGGCCAAGTGTGTGCACAACCAGTCAAAAGTACTCAAGTGAAAGACAAAAAATATCACTGCAGGACACAAAGGACAAAGCTCTGCACACCGTCTCAACAACTCCAAATAAAACTATTATAGGCAATGTTTTGAGATCAGATCAAGCCATTGCTTTCACAAAGAGTTATTATTTGGAGTCCAATGGTGTGCAGACATTTTTCCTGAATTATTTTAATGCCTACATTCAGTTACATTTTTTGAAAAAAGATTTTATCATAATTGTTTTGGAAGTTCTACCTGAGATCTGTTAATTGACCACTGTTTGGCAGGTTCTTGTCATGTACTGACCATAAAGAAAAGTTTAAAACCAAAATAAACTATATGTTTTTTTTCAACTTTCAATCAGAAGCAAAGGTCAGCTTTTAAACTTGATAGAAATAAGAATTTGACATTTTTCATGATAATTATTGATGCTGAAATATATTAGACTTTTTTTAAATTATAACATTTTTGGCCCTAGCTGATTCTTTCTGAAATACGGAAGAAATAAAATCAAACCTAAAAGTCTTAAACATCTGTTTTTGATTGAGGAAACCAAATATAGATCTTTGAAGCACGGTGGACTGTCCAATCATATTTTACATTGATCCACAAATCTTTCAAACCCTATACTTGCTACATCAGCATTGAGTTGTAAAGAACAAGTTTACGGACAGACGAGAATGACTCTGAACTAGTACAAACTTGATAAAGTTGTCAAACAATCATCTTAAAACTATACTTTACCTTAGCAACGGTATCTTCCACGGCGAAAGCTATTTGCTGTTGCTTCTGCTATTCTTTTATTGGCGGTTGGCAAGCCAGCTTATATGTCTTACAGGCCCCAGGCACAGGGCATGTGGAAAGGTAATAAACCTGTAAAACAGGAGAAATGATGAAGCAGAGGAAACAAAGTCTCTTTTTGCACATCACTCAGAAATAGTCAACTAAGTAACCAAATTACATAAAGTGAATAAAATTTATCTAGCACACACATCAATTCATACACAAACATGACAATCATTTTCCTCATTAAAAGGGAATTTAAAACTCTCCTAGCCTACAGGGAATGTAAACCTTCGATATATTAACAAAAGAATATAATACTTAAATATATTAACAGGGAATTTAAACCTTTTATATTAACAGGGATAAACCTCTCATAGTTCTTACTGACAGAACCGTTCACTGTCCTCAATTTGATAAACGTTCCTGGCAAGATAGTGACATTTTCTAGCATTTAATTGGTATGGATGACCTCAAACCAACACGAAACATATTTTTCTAAACAAAATACAAATAATATACTTCATATGTGCCCAGCAGCCGTAAACATTAATGGTGGACATTGAGGATCGGGAGTGCTACCTAACGTCTATGTTTTGTCCTTAAACATGGCACAGTGTAAGAAACCTATGAACAAACTGCAAAGTTAATACTAAAAACTACTTAAACAAAAGAGATAACGATTGCTATGCTTATTTATCTGTGTTGTGCTTTTGTACACCGTACTGACCTGTAAAACAGGAGGACTGATGAAGCTACAGTTGCTCTCGACGGTCTTGCCAGAATGGCCAGATATCGACTGCATCAAAACAGTCATCAACCCCTACTGTCTGCAGTGGAGTACATATTTTTCAATGTAAAAGCCTTATAGGACTTGGTCGACTCAACATTACATTTACATGCACAGTGCTACAAAACAGATAGTGTTAAATTAAACCAAAAATGTGACCATACATTTTGTGTTAATTTAATTTATTTATCTATCTCTTATTCCACAATATATCTTGCATGCTGTTTTCCCCATTATCATCCCCCATCCCAATTCACTCAAATAAAAATAATAAATCATAATGTACAAAATTAATTCTGGCTGTTAAGGAGAACTAACCATTTGTGAGACCTATGTAATCTTGACTTCAGCTATGTGACTATACCCATATGGATAGACTCACAAAGTGGGGGTGCTGTCAAATATGGTCAAACTTGATTTTCATCCATTTAACAATTAGATATTTAATATTGTATTACACAAATGTGAGCACCTGTGTGCACTCAGTACAGTATTTGCAACCAATTATATGAAATACAATAATATTTCTGAAACTACAATTCCTTCTAGCAGCGCCATGCAGCTTGATACAAATTAGCATCATATTGGTAGTTCTTTTGGTTTGAATAGTATGGCTGTGAATAGGGTCATAAAAATATTGAATATATTAAATATCTTGTACAGCCGTACACGTACTTAAACTATATCAACATGGTCTATGTTAAGAAAACTGTCAGCACACACTTATAGTTCTTCTCGTTTGCAAAAACAGGGTTGGGAAACCACATATCAACACAATATATAAAGCTTTTACTGCAGGTGAAGCATAAATTACACTACATTAAGGTGGTTTATTTGAAATAAGCATACATGTGCTGATATATTAGGGCTATATTTCATCAAATACACTGAACAAAATTATAAAGGCAACACTTTTGTTTTTGCTAAGACTTTCTCTACGTACACAAAAGGCCTATTTCTCTCAAATATTGTTCACAAATCTGTCAAAATCTGTGTTGGTAAGCACTTCTCCTTTGCTGAGATAATCCATCCACCTCACAGGTGTGGCATATCAAGATGTTGATAAGGCAGCATGGGGACTGCACAGGTGTGCCTTAGGCTGGCCACAACAAAAGGCCACTTACAGTCAGTGACATACAACCTTAAATTTAAACAGCTAGCCTTATTATTAAACTGAAGCCATCTGTCAATCTTTCGTTGTCTCTGTGTTAATAAGCAGCTAGCAATCTGTAATACTGAAACAGACAAAGAAAGATACAGTCTTTAAAAACAGACAAAACATAATAACACTGTAATCACAAACAGTTGTACTAGCTCATAACTAATGAGGTCATTACAGTCAAATGGCCTTATGCAGTTGACTAAACTATAAAGTATTGAGCTCTGTTGAGATTTATGCCACTTTAATTGAATAGGGCTCAAAATTTGATAGCTAATTTCTGTGGAACACTCAAAAAGTTTAGGAACCATACAGTTGTGTCATGACGTTATTGACGTCATGACGTTTGGTGGGTGGGTCTTATTTCTGCCTCAGCAAAGCTGAATCAGCCATCTTGAATTTGACTTCATGCAGTGAAGTTATCATGGAAGTTTTGGAAAGCCCCGCAGTTTAATTTGTTTTTATTTGTTTGCAATGCGCACTTTTATCCCCTCGCTTCAAACCACCACCTCAGTTTTTTTCATCATCATTATTGGCCGGCCTTTTTTTCAGCGCCGTCTTATTATCAGCCCTGATTTGGTAAGTAACTCTAACGTTTTTGTTTTGTTGTTTTTTTAATTGAATTTCGATAAATATTCTTACATTTGGAACTGGGAATACATGTGTACAATGTGCACAGTGAATATTTGTTGTAAATAGTTTACAAATCCAAGTAATTGTAACTTTAGAAGTTGTTGAATCTGACTTACAACAGTGTAAAGTTATCAGCAGGTTTCCTGGAAGAACTACATTTCCCATAATGCATGTTTTCCCGGGAGATGATGTGGGGGAACGACCATGAGTTTGAACTGTCTCGTGGAGTCCGAACCGTTCTTTATGTCTATGGTCCGAAAGCATAACGTTAACTTATCCCTGCTTCCCGGTTTCTGCCGGTTGTTGTTTTCGCTGTTCGCTGGTAATGCATGTGAGTAACGTTATACTTATTTCAATAAGTGTCCGCGTTACATAGTCAGTATTTTAAGTTGTCGAGCTGTGTCTTTGTGTGCAGCGTGAATCTAACAATGCTAAACAACATAATGTGAGTGTGTTATCATGATGCTAACAAGGTCTATGTGTGTATTTTATTGTAGGCTCAAATGTGTGGTTGTGAGATCATCACCTAGAAATCCTTTTTAAAAGTTCAGGTAGGATGTATTATGAAATAGTGTTATTAACAATTGGTTTTATTTTATGTGTCATTTCTTTAAATGTTTTCATCTCAACTGTGGGGTCCACAGTTGATCACTTGAACCCTTTATTAATACTTTGTTAAAAAAAACAAAAAAACATCAACAACAGAAATAGCATAAGCACACAACTTTGATGTTGTGCTTGTTAATAACTAACTTGCTCATCTTTTAACCTTTTCATTTTACTATAATTACTGTAGCCTACAATTAATGTTTTTCATAGATTTGGAAACTTTTTTTTATCTGTAAATTCACTTTTTAAAATTTAATTTATCATTATGTATTATTTTAAAAATGTTTTTTTTGAACATTAACTAATCATCTTTGTGTGCATGTTGTGTATAGATATTGGACTTCAAAGAGTGCTACAGAGAGTCAGCGTTTCA